TACTACTACTGATCAAGTATGTTACACTACTACTACTGATCAAGTATGTTACACTACTACTATTGATTAAGTATGTTACACTACTACTGATTAAGTATGTTACAATACTACTACTGATCAAGTATGTTACACTAGTACTACTGATCAAGTATGTTACACTACTACTACTGATTAAGTATGTTACACTACTACTACTGATTAAGTATGTTACACTACTACTAGTGATTAATCATGTTATACTACTATTGATTAAGTATGTTACACTACTACTACTGATTAAGTATGTTACACTACTACTGATTAAGTATGTTACACTACTACTGATTAAGTATGTTACACTACTACTGATTAAGTATGTTACACTACTACTACTGATCAAGTATGTTACACTACTACTAATGATTAAGTATGTTACACTACTACTAATGATTAAGTATGTTACACTACTACTACTGATTAAGTATGTTACACTACTACTACTACTGATCAAGTATGTTACACTACTACCACTGATTAAGTATGTTACACTACTACTACTGATCAAGTATGTTACAAAAAGAAACTCACCCTTTTCCTTTTCAAGTTTTTTAGTCTTCTGTTTGGAAAGGTCTCTGGACTAAGCTTTTCTCTAAAATTGTAATATTTTTTTTAATTTCTTACCAGATAATGCACTATCCACTACTGTAAACATGTACTTAATACTTACAATCTTTTTTTTTTCTGGGTTAAAAATGTTTCTTTAGCTAATTATAGCAAAAATTGATTGCTATTGCCAAATATTTCGAAAGAAACACATAACTAAATTACCTTGAAACTAGATAAATAATAACCAGTCTATATTCCTTATAACACTAACAATAAAAAAAATATTCTTTATTCTCCCGAAGAAGAATAGTCAACTATTCAAAAGTGCTAGAGTTTTGGGTCTCATTTTGAAAATAAAAAAATACTGTAGCAATCAGAGAAAAACATTACATTATGCATTACTTTGAAATCTAAATCTTCAATCAAAAACTTTTATGATTAATGACATTTTTGAAGTATTTCTGCCTGAAAAATCGTGGACTGAAGGTGAAAAAGGGTACCACATAGAGACACCCTTTTCTTGACACTAAAACTGAATCCATAAAACCAAAGAGTATACTTTCCTGTCACCAACATAAACATCACTATTATAATACCAAACCTAAAGAATTACATAACTTTACAAATAATTAAACACTACACATGAAACATTGGTTCAGATCAGGAAGTATTCCAAATTAATAATGATATACGAACACTTCAATAAAGAACTTTCTATGAAGGATGTTTTGAGAATAAACTACTTTTCATTATTACACCAAAACTCTCCAGTTAAATATGAAGTCAGAGTTCAACCAAGATCACAAGCACACACTCAGTAATGATAACTCTGACTCTTAGTGGTTTCGGTAATTACACAGTAATTCACCTGGTAGAAGCTACTTACAAAAACTCACATTCTAACTCCACGTCAGAATGTGAGACTTGAACATTTATCTGAAAGTCGCTCATTGGACTAAAGTCAATTTTCAAAGCATCCCCTAACTTGTTGCCTACCACCCACTTCCAAGCATCCTTCACTGATGGAATGTCTTCATGTGAAATAGCTTTGTAAAGATCACTGAAAATAAAAATTAGGTCTTGTTAAGAGTTATTTAAACGTCCCTAGTAAACAATGAATTTCTACCCACAGTCGTATAAATATTTCCAATTGTTTCTGAAAAAAGAAAAATCATTCTATGATACTGTATGATGTAGTAATAATAAAGAACAAATAATTAAAGTTAGTTATATGACATAAATACTTTTAACTTTCTCTGAAATAAAACTTTACTTAATAGTTTTGTTTTTAGTTTACTCATTGACTGAGTATTATTTTACAACTTTTAGGTAAGGAAAAATATTTTTTAGAACAGGTACGACTTATCGATCATTGGTGCAATCATTCTCAAGTACACAAGTTTTAATGGTAAAGAAAGTTTTAATATTTAAATCAAGATACAACAACTGAATGTTGATTTAAATACTAAAACTTTTCTCTCTTTAAAACTTGTGTACTTAAGAATTATTGCACCAGTGATCGAAATGTCGTACCTGTTCTAAAAAATATTTTTCTTTACTGTAAAAGCTGTAACTTGCAATTAAGAGAAAATTTCACTTAGTTCTACTACATCCATTATGATCAACCCTAGAATTACTGGTGAGGTCCAAATGGGTCCCACTAGATTCTTAAAAAATTTGTTAAAACTATTTATGCATCAAATTGCTTGTAGGTCCATAACTTTGTTTATGGGTTCTCTAATGACAGAGGAGACAAAAAAAAAATGTAAACAAAAATAGTGTCAATATTGCAATTAATCCCATTAACTGCCCTCTATTTTACATAGAAAATGAGTGATTTTAACCCAATTCTGTTGGTCAGTTCTTCACGCTCAGTGTTGTAACAGGCAAAAAAAACATAAAATTATTCAATATGTTGCAATATGTAGGCCACACCTACAGTGAATAGTATGCAAAGAACTCAGTAATATGAGGGTTATACTATGTAAAATTTGGTACTTTTAAAAAATAAAGAAAGACTATCACTTATGAAAAAGAAGTAAATAGCATATAAAGGAAAGTTTTATTTACCTGAAATTTTCTCTCAGAAAAAGTAAGAGCACATGCTGAAAATGAATATTCCAAACATTTTAAGTTAGAAAAAAAAACCATGACACAGCTTACACATGTTGTTACTTACAATATTCTGACTATATAAAATACTTTATAGCACTGATGCCATAAATAATTCCATAAATATCAGAAACAATTATTTATTTTTATAAATATATATATATATATTTGGAGATATAATGTTTCAATGAAAAATATATTTAAATCTTTTTCTCTCTCAATAAAAAATTTAAAACTGGTGACAGTATACAATAAGTGATACTTACTTGACGTAGGTCAATAGATGGTGGAACAGACAACTGTAGAGTTAAAACTGAGAATTTGTGCCAACTTTCTTTTATTGTTGTTTACAGCTTCAATGTAAAGACAACAAAAATTTAGTTTCATGATTACTGTCTATTCAGCTTTTTTTGGGTGTTAAAAATAACATCTGTATTTAGTTTTTGCTATTTTATGCCAAACAATCTAAGTGTCTTATGCATAATGTAAACTCGAGATAATTTGTGACTGACATGTTTTAGGCCAGAAGTGAAATTCTGCTACCAATTACAAAAACACTTTGGCAAGATATTGATAAATAAAAGTCTATTTTCACTGTTGTAAATAGGAATTCATTATTTATATCACTTTGTTTAAATAAATACCTTGGAAGTACAAACACACATGATAAAAATAATTAACTTTTAATATAATCTAAAATAAGTACAATATTAAAAAGACTTGTAAACATGTTTAAGATTTGTTTTGTGATGCACAGCAACAGTACAGAATAAAAATAGTATATATATATAAAGAAATTTTTTATTGAAAAAATATGAAAACATTAAAGTTAAAAAGGCCTGTAAAACCTAAAACCATCATCAATCCTGCCAATCTCCTTGTTGCAAATGAGTCAATAACACTGTACAATGTTGAAGGGGCACCACAAGTTAATGATAAGTCTACATCAGGTCAGTGACATTACACTGTTCACTATTAGATCATTCTCCTTACAACTTCCTCCCTCTGATTTCTATACAAACAAGCAATCGCAGGTTTTATTTGAAAAGCTTGTTTGTACATTGATTACCCCTAAATTTCCTGTCAACTGGCATGAAGCCTTGTTTTGATAATGGATTAGTAATCCATTTAAGGAATCAACAAAACACTGGAGGTCAACTTGACCATGGTGTCAATAAGCTCAATCTCTCAGATTCCAACATGGTAAGGAATCCAGAAAAAAACAGACAGAGACAGATGATTGTAAGAAATGGGCAATTCATTTCTGAAAATCAAAGAGAACTAAGTAAAAACAGACATTAAGCAAATCAGTACAAATTGTACAGTTAGTATACTGTTTACCTTCTATATGATCCAGAGCAAGTGAGATTGTATAAAATTTAGATGTGAACTTAGAATTTGTGGAGTTGATCCTATAAGCCCCTTTGAGGCATGAAGACACATTGCCGGATAGGATGCCAAGGCAGTGATTGGAGTTTTGCAGCATACTGAATAGAGAGCTGCAAATGTCTGAGGTGAAATAGAGGCTCATATGAATCTTTCTACAAACTATGGATACACAGGGTCCAACATTTTCGATGCAGAGTCCTTGGCCGAAGCATGTAACACAGACTTGTAATCCAGTTTAACCTGAATGAGAGAATAATAGATTTTGATCATAGAGTACCTATCTGTCCTCCCAAGAGATGGAAAAAAATGTAAATGATGTTGGTGCCCTTGTACAGTTGACTTTAAGCTGCTTTATGTGAATTTCAGAATCAGGAACATTCCCAAATAGGCAGCAAAAGTGCATGCAAATGGTTTTTGATAACAAACGTTTTAAATTATTTGTAGTGGTCCACTCACATGATTTATTGAGGGCAGTTTGGAGTTTTCACTCAATGTGCCTCTTATTGAATGACTTACAGGATATCTGAACGGCACAGTAGTAAAGACTTTTTGCAACTGTAGAAGAAGTTTTTCAATAATGGCAATGATCTTAATGCTAAAAAATTAAACACTCAAGACATGATCTTGAGGAACTCCAAACTCCTGTGTGAAGGATCGGGATATTGTTTATCCCACACAGACCTAGAATGACTTCTTTGCTAGAAATTTATGAATAAAAATGGGTAGGTGGCCATGCAACCCATATGAATTAAAATACTGTAATATGCTAGACCTCCAGGTGGTGTCATAAACCTTCTAAAGATTAAAAATAAATAATAAAAACAAGATGGTCCCTCTTGAGAAAGGCTTGCCTGATGGACATTTTTCAGCCAAGTCAATTGGTCCATGGTGGATTGCTGTGTGCAAAAACCAGACTGTGTGGTGGAGAGTTTGAGGAAACAAACAAAACTAGCATTAACCATCCCCGCTAGAACTTTACAGAGACAGCTAGCCAAAGTAATAGGTCTATAATTAAGAGGTATCTTAGAATTCTTCCTGCTTAGAAAAAAGGATGACAACAGCCTGATGTTATAAATCTGGAAACTTCTCCTTGCCAAATCAAATTAAAAAGAACCAGAAGAAGATCAAAAGGTGTAGGAGAGAGATGGTGCAGCATCTTATAATAGATGTCATCTGGTCCAACTGATGTATTTCAAGCTGAGGTAGAACAAGTTTAAGTTCCACCAAAGTGAATGGTCTAGTATAGACATAAAGGCAGTCCAGAAGAAAAGAAGATGGAGTTCTTTTAGCTCATGTCTTGATGGCATGCGAGTCAAGAGACATCAACTGTGGCCAGTCTTCCTCAATATGATGGACAATTATCACTACCCTGTGAATCATTGTCCATCTCACAAGAAAAAGAAGGAAGAAGAAGAAAAGATGAATAAATGAACAGATCAATGACAATAAATGAAATAATAAGGGTTGTGATCCAAGAACAAGTATCCATAAATCCCCTCAAACCAATTTTCACTTCCATGGAGTGGATTGTGTCCACGTAAGTCTCCCAAGATCAAGAAGGGAGATGGAAGTTGCTCAATAAAATTATCAAGGTCTGCTTGATCAATTTCTCTTCCTGGAGACAGGTAAAGAGAACACAGTGTGATCGTACAGCACATGGAGCATGCTTAAGGTTGTAATGATATTCACATACTCTTAAATAAACTGTCACTCCCTTTAACTGTTCACCAACCCAGTGTACACAATTCAGATATTTCTAGAAATTGCCTGAATTTCTAAGTTTACTGTAAAATACAACATTAGAATCTATTAACAGATATGCAGTATCAAGTGTAAATTTTAAACATCTGAAAATTTCAACCAGTTATTTTTGCAAGTACACCAAGGCTATGACAGAAGAAAAAATGTGATATCACAAAATCTGTTTACCTTTTTTAATCCTTCTGATAAATGCTGTTCCTCTAATAATCCAAGACAAGCAGAACAAGGGCTTTTAAGGTGTTTCTTAAAAGGTGGCTCCTCAATTTTTTCATTAATTATCTCAGCTTCATTTTTGGCATCATAAAGTTCTTCTTTTAGGGCAGTTGGTATGTCATCAATGAATTCCTCAAGTCTCTATTGCCACACAGAAAAAGTTACATGACATATAAAAAAAAATTAACAGAATCACATTCAATGATAATTTTCAGAATAATACATCAAAGGCTTGTATTTAATATCATTCAGAGAAAACTGATAAGAAACTATGTCATTCTGCCATAACATATTCAAATTTGATAACTATAATTTAAATAGAAAAACCAGTATTGAGTGTTTTATGTGGTCAACCTTAATTTTAAATTAATTACACCACAAAGTAGTCACAATTTCTTTCATGAATTTGGAAAACAATGTTTACTATTACTGAAGACACAGAGGAAGCACAATTATGGCATATATTGAGATTATTCCTGCACACCTACCAACTTTATTTATTTATATAATATCATACATTAACACATTCACGACATCGTGTGCCACCAGTGGTACATTTGCATGTTTTCTGTTGGCTGTCGTACGCCACCCATGGTACACAACACCCATAAGATATAACTGCACCTCATATCTCCAAAGTCCTATATGAAAGTATTTATTTTGTACGGACAGCTGTAATGAAGCCACTCCTTCCATCATGTACCACTGGTGGAGTACGAATGTCATGTTGAAAGGACAACTGAAATATAACAAATTTACATGATTAAATAATTTTTTATTTTAAAATTACATCTAGAGACTGGCATTAAATTTTTCACTATAAGCAAATGAAGCAAACAAAACTAACTGAGACTTCTTTCATAAATAAAAACTGTTATGAAATCTGTAATATAATAAGGATAGAAATGAAAAGTGGAGCAAAAGAACTAATTAGACATTGTTTTTTTTAAAGTCTTTTATGAAAATTAAAAAATAAAATAAAGATAGACAATGAATATTTTAATTCATTCTAATTTTCATTTATGTTTGTCATTGAAACACTCCAAGCACATTGTAGGCTTCCCATCACAATCCTTGAACTATTAATCATACACAGTAGGGATTATTTTATCTGATGTCCGTTTTTTTACGAACGGAACGTAAAGTTGTGAAGTATTCATAATTCTTCCTAAAACTGCAAAATTACTCTGAGAAAAAGAATATTAAATATCATGATCACCTAATTACTATTGTTTAAATCATAGTATGTACCATCGATGGTGCACTTACGAGAAGGCTGTCGATGGAGACACCTGTCATAAAACATAACATAAAGTCATAAAATCAGTAGTATCTAAGACAGAGTTTACAATGAGGCTTGACGTTTCTATTACATAATTTGGGAACTCACACCGAGAAGGAGTTAATAACTCCAATATTTTCATAATTTTCTCAACTAAAAAAGTAAAATATGGAAAGAGCTCCATATAGCACCCCCACCCAAAAATTGTAGAATTGCCTGGATGTACAAACCTAATAGAGAATCGGTGGTGGTGTGTCAAAAGACAACTACCAACTACACATACCAGGGCAAAGACATTTGACAAGCATTTGTGTGAATATATGTGGAGAACATTATATTCTGATTAAAGTAGCCTTTTTGAAGCCTTTATACAAGACATTTGTAAAGTTTATCCCCAAGAAGATTGTACATCTAATTAATGAAGTAAGTGGTATAATAATGTATTAAAATTATCAGATCATACTATTAATATGATTTATTAATACATAAATATTACTTTGATGAATTTTTTTTTAAATTGAGTGGGGGTGCCATATAGAACTCTTACCTAAAATATTAGTTCAAGATATTGAACAAGTCTTATTTTTTCTTAAACTAAAGTAAAGCACAAGAGAGTAAAAAAATAAGTTTCAAATGTTTTACCTTTCTAACTACATCAATGGAAGCATACAGATAGTATTTTTTTTCTCTGAAAAATCGTAATATACAACGATCACAACAGCCACAGTCAACTAGCTTCTTGAAAACTTCTTTATTGGCTTTCATGTCACCTGTTTCTGTTATCCTTTATCATGCGAAAAACAATATTTAATTCGACATTAGTTTCACTTTCACAAAACTAGCGTCATCGATAACAAATCGGTAGTACTAGTTAAAATAATTTTAAAATGTTATACTAGTGTGGTTTTATATTTCATCCATGAATGAACAATCGTACGTTACCTGCACTGAGAAAGATAACTATAATATACACTCTATAATTATGATAATCTAATAAAGCATAAACAGAAATTTATTCGAATTATTATACTAAACCACATTGTTCCTACAGTCAGAATACTCAAATGCCCTCTGCTGACATAAAGAAAAAGTGTATCATATTTTCAGACATATATTATTTATGTTAATTAGATTATTAATAATGTTAATTGGATTTTAATTCTAAAAATTGAAATTCCAAAACGTTTCTCTTTTGTTATTATTAATTATTTCATTTGTATTAATTTTCGTGGAAAAAAAAAACAGAAGAAGATGGATGACATGGTAATATCATGATTCAGAATCTTTATGGACAACCTGTAAAACAAAAGTTGTGAAAATTACCATGTGCTTTGGTCAGTTATAGCATACATATTCTTACGACAGCGGGGGTCCCGTGACTCAAGGTAACACGTCATATTCTCGAAAGTTCACGTCCCTTCCTGAAGCCTCGAGAGGTTACTAGATATGCGGTATTCTTATATATATAAGCCGCCAAGAAGTGACGGCGACAATGTGTAATTGAACTGCAGAGAGAGATATATGTGTAATTGACAGTTGAGTCGAGCACGTGAGACGTTCGTTGTGAATTATAGCGCTTGTTATAGCGCGACAGTGGAAATGAAGTGTATTGCAAAATTGTATTCAGAAAGAATAAACCAGTTTTATTTAAGAAAGGTCTTGTATCGCTAAAGTTTCTTCGGAAAGAAATTATACGGGAAACAAACTAACGAACAGAGACGTAACAAATTGCTGACAGAAGTGGGATTAAAAAAAATGGAAATGAGAAGCGGCAAATCAAACACCAGCTTAGCAGACTTGATGGCAGCAATACAAGAGCACCAAAAGAAACAAAAAGAACGAGAAACGAAACAAGAAGCAAGAGATTACAGCAGTTGTTGGAGGAAAAAGAAAATAAACAAGAAGAACGAGAAAAGAAACCAGAAGAGAGACTACAGCAGTGTCAAC